ATAAATGTCAATGGTTAAGAAAAAATCAACAAAAATTTTTATTGAAGGCTTAAAAAAATTACATGCTTCATATTATGTAAAATATATGCCGTAAGATCGTAAATTAATATTCAAGGGCAATTACTTCTCGTAAATTAACAAAAAAAAATATTATTAACAATCTTACAACTTATAGGAGTAATAAATCAAACTGATCAATTGACTTCCATATTTACTAAGCTTTAAATATTTGTATAGATAGATGGTCAAGAATGTCGGCAGATTCATTTCTCAAACAGGTGACGTGCCAAATACAAGTGTACGCAGTAAATTATCTTCCATATAATATAACATTATAATAAGACAACATTGTAATAAGCATGTTATGGATTTTTGAATAGAATTGTTAAATTTTTCTACGAAGCTGACGTAATAAGTCAATATTATCAGCTGAGGGCGTATACTTATATATAATAATTAGTTTATTTTATTCAACGTCAAAAAGTATTACGTGATCTGTCGGTAAATAATTCTACGTCATAAGTCCATTGTAGCACAATTTTTACGAACAGATTGTTTTGTTATCAGTGATAATGAGGCACTTTATGGATATAAAGCCTTCGAGTGTCGGGAAATGAGTCATAAGTATCGAGGCTCTTGCATATTTTGCGCTTCTGAATAAGAATCATAAAAATAAAATTGTTCTTTTAAGAATTTTTAGTGACAAAATTGTTTAAATAATATTAACAGGTACGTTTTTTTATCTAAAAAATACAAAAATTTATTATTTATCTCATTTTATTACAATTATAATAAAAAAAAAAGTGTAAACTTAATTTATAAAAAATTTAAGAATTTATTAAAAATTATACTTTTAAAAATTACGAATTTTTAATAGAAAAATTTTGGATTAATTATTTTTTTATATTTTTTAATGACTGAATAAAAAATTCGGAGACTTTTTAAATAAATTTTAAAAATGTTATTGCTATAAAAAAATTATTTTTGAATAATTCAGAGGAAAATATGAGGGATAAATTTAAATAGAAAAAATAAAAAAATTGGAAAAATTGTAATTTTTTAAAATTTATCAAGAATTTTATATTATAAAATTAATTATTATATTTGAAACTGCACAGATAGATAGGTTTGCTTGAATTAAGATAACAATTTTAATAATAAATTTTTTGTAAATTTTTTGAGTTAAGATAAAATTTTTAAGTTAAAAAAAAAATTTTATTGCTTAATAATTTTATTGCTTTTCCTGAAAATTTAATAAAATTTTTTCTTTTGACCCCTTCAGATTTAGCTGAAACTTTTATATTTTTTTCTACCCCTTGATTTTTTTTTATTTAATTGAAAAAAAAAATTGTCAAATTTTCTAAAAAAAATTTTTACAAATTTATGTCAAAAAAAAAAATATTTTTACGTCACAAAATTTTTCTCAAAAAATAATTAAATAAATTTGTTTTTTTTTTTTTTTCAGAAAAAAAAAATTCATTTAAAATGGCAGCAAATAAAAATGTATTCTTAATTTACATTTTTTTGGTCCTAACAATCTACTCCGTAGTCATCGCGCAATTTGCAAATACATTTGGAGGAGCAATGAGCTACTACGGAAGTAGACAAAGGCTGCATCATCATTGAATTAAATTAAATGATCAAATAATAAAACAAGTACTTTTTACTTACATGCGTTATCTATAAATTATTATTAAGAACTGATAAATAAATTACTTAATTATTTTTCAAAATTAATTTAAATCTAGTAAATTTAATTATTTATAGAGTATAAAAAATAAATATAAACAGAGTACTTGGTAGTTAATTATAAATGATTAAGTTAGTAAGTATGATAGTGACGGTATTGCGTGCGGAGCAAATATATCGCGTGATCATTTTAAGAGACCTGACCTCCTCCTCCCTCTTCCTGGTTAAAGTTGAAATAAAGAGACTCCCGATAAAGACCTGAGGGACTTAATCTTACCGCCGTCAGATATATATTCGGCACTCACACCTACGCTAAGCGTCTAGCCGGTTGATTTAACAGCAGGTCATATCTGTTATGTTCAGTTTGTGCTTTTGATTCTGTTTACTTGTGTCAGGATTAAATTAAGTTGGGGTAAATTAGAGATAATAAATAGAGCTGATGGCATTCAGCTCTACAATTTCAGAGGAATTTTTATCGCTTTAATTTACTTTTGATAACTGCCCTAGAAATTGAGATTTAAAAAGAAAAAAAAATTTTAATTTAAAATCGTTTGGATACATTAATGACCAACTGTAAAAGATTCGAGATTCATACTGATAAATAAAAATAATAAAAAAAAAAAAATTTAATATAAAATGCAAAGAATTTTATCCGGTGACCGGAAAATTAAAGATTTTTTTTTTTAAATTGCCCAGCAATAGTAACAAGTCTATTTCCCATGACAGATATTGCAGTATCTTTAAATTATTTACCGTTAAATTCATTGATATTGCAAATTTATTATTATTATTATTATGAATATTATTATTGTTATTTTTATTAAGGCTCAAAACTAAAATTAATGATAATAATAATAATGACCTTTTATCTTGTGAAATATTGATATTTTTAAAGATATAAGCTCATCCTGATGTTACACTCATCGAGACCTTTCATTTAAGTACCCAAATCAATTTTTCATATATTTTATATATTTATATATTTCACAAATACCATATATATATATAATATATAAAAAATGTCATGTGGGTACTCAAATGTAAGCTCTTGATGAGTATAACCTCGGGATGAGCTTATATTTTTAAAAATATCAATAATTAAGAAATTAACTTTTATCTTGTGAAATATTAACATTTTTAAAGATATAAGCTCATCCTGATGTTACACTCATCGAGACCTTTCATTTAAGTACCCATATCAGATTTTCATATATTTTATATATATTATATATATATGTATATATGAAAAATATATCAAAAATGCAAGTGGGTATTTAAATGAAAGCTCTTGATAAGTGTAACATCGGGATGAGTTTATGTCTTTAAAATTGTTAATATTTAAGAAATTACAATGCAATTTAATAAAATTCATTATTTAAAAAAGCAAAATTTTATTTATTTAAAGTTCACAAGTCTCAGCAGTCACGTAGTGACTGCAAGGTTACTAGTAACAATAATAATACCAAATTGAAAATTATTATAATTATTATTATGTTTGAGATAATAATGAAAAAAATGATTTTTTAATTTTTATTATTAGTATTATTATTGTTATTTTTAAAAAAAAAAAAAGTTTTAAACTTAAATTAAACTAAAAAATAAATAAAATCTCAATATACAAATCCGCCTCTAAATTGAATATAACAGAAGTATAAAGTCCGTTCACCGAGCGTTAATTTTCCCGACATAAAATTTATGAATGCCCGTACATTAATAACCATTACTACCAGCGTATTGTTTAGTAACTTCTATTTCCTTTCCACTTAGTGAAATTTGTTAATTGAATCCATTAAAATTTATTGAATCGTTTTCGGATTAATATGTATTAATATTGAACTGTTTTTAATTTATCCAATGTAGGTTCATTTATATAAATTAATTAGTATAATAAATATAAATGGCGAGCGGCGAGTTTGCGAATGCATCTGCGGTAGCTGTATCAGTTTAATAAATTAAATTCGTGTTCGCGGGCATTGATTTTCTCGAATTGGATGGAAAATTCATGTTTTCTGATAATTAAAATAATAATAATAATAATAACAACTCACTAGTTACATTATTGTCATTAATAAAAATCAAGGAAACTTTTGTTCGATTCCTTTTTTTTTTTTAGAAAATTTTCCTTCGAAAAGGGTTCAACCCTCTTTTCAAAATGGTTCTTAATTTTCTTCTATTTAAAGCCGGATAATTTAGTGAAATTACTTTGAAAAGCCCGAACGATTATCAAAATAAAGACCGAGTAAATAAACAAAGTATAGAATAACAAAATAAAATATTTTCAAGTTTATGAAATAAACCCCCTGGGCTACGGCCGGCTGACAAAATATCTGACTCACTTAAATGAAATCTATCATTTGGACCCTTTTCTCAGTTCAAATATTAACACCAGGTGCGTTTAATTTAATCCATGCTATACAGCTCAAACTTAATAAAATTACTCTTTATAGAAATATTCGTAAATAATTTTGAAAAAAAAAAATTAAAGGAATTTTTACTATTTTACTATCGTAATTTTAATTAAATAAAATAGTAACGGTGGACTATACTTGTAATTTAATAATTTTTACGATCTACTATTGTAAATTTTATTCAACAAATAACACTACCAACAGACTTAAAAAGTCCAATACTATAGAGCTAATTATACAAGATGTGTTAGTGAACTTTAAAATTAAACTATTGTAAAAATTGACACAAGGTTTTTTTTGAATAAATTTTAGGGAGGGAGAAGGTAGGAGGTTCGACTGATTGGTAACTTTGCAGTAACCGAAAAAAAAAAAATCGGAATTTCTCGTCCGGGAATCGAACCCAGAACTGTTTAGTTGGTAGCCAGACGACTCTCCCTCTACGCTATCCGAGGTAAACTACTATTGATGTCCTTGAGCATTTACATAAACTCGCGAGTCTAGCGCTGTGCATGGCCAACACTCACACTAATTTACAAAACATTCCAATTAAACTATTGTAAAATTAGTTAGTTCTATTGGAAAGATCCAGAGGCAGCGCTGGACAATTTTCGGCTAAAATATTTGAAAGTTACCGGTAATACAAGTATAGTCCAGCATTATCGACAATTTTATTGGAAAATTTCGTAGAAATTTTCTTCCGTGTACAAACAAATATAACTGTCTTAAATATTGGATTAATTTTATAAATATTAAACTCTTTAAATTAATTGCTTCAATAGACTGCAATAAAAACAATAATGTCTCTTTACAACTTCCTGCATATTAATCATAGATAAATATGATTAATACCGACAAATCTAGTTCTAATATATTTTTCAAAGTATTAACACGCTATTCATTAAAATGGAACCGAGAAGAAGGAATGTTAGAGCCAAACAAAGAAAAAGAAGTTTGGATGATATTTTAATGTTAATTATCAAACCCATGAATATCTCGACAAAGTTATTGAAGCTCCGTACCGTAAGCAAGATATTTAATTCAGTTATAAGTGAAAAATTAAATTCTGAAAAATTTTGGGAGAAACTTTGTTATAATCCCGAAATAGTTCCTTGGCTTGCTAAGTTGAAGAGAAATTTATTTCCTTCTGTAAAAGATGATGTCCTTGATTTGGTTCTTGTCAATCAAAATAACTGGAAAAAAATGTATCTTCATTACAGAAAATGGAAGAATATATCTAAATCAGTAAATTCTTCTTGGCGGGATTTGTACAATGCCGGTGATGGTGAAAATTTCCTTTTTGTTGCAAGTTTTGGTAAGTTTTAGATTTTTTTGCAGCTATCATTGTTATTATAACTCTTTATATAGTGTAATTAATAATTAATAATTATTGTTTTGTGACAGCGGGACATTTAGCCATAAATGTTGACGATAAAAATATTGATGTTGTAATTTTTACTAAAGGCAAGATAAAAAACTATCGATTGATCAAACCGGTGGATCAAGAAGATTATAAATTGGATGAAATAGGTTTTTGGAATGCTAAGAACGGTGGTATTCTTCTGTACGTACTAATGGATAATGGATATCTGTATTTTGGAAAACATACTATGACTTTGTGGATGAGCAATAGCCAAGCATTTGAAAATATCGTATGGTAATTATTTCATTAACAATATACCTAAAATAATTTATTATACTGTACCTTAACGAGAATTTTTTAATAAATTTATCCATTAAAGCTCTGGCAGTGACAGTATTAATGCAAGATATAAAGAATTCATTAAAATATTTATTGTATGTTAACTTATGAGCATGCTGTGATAAAAAAGGGGAAAAAAAAGTTTTTATAGTAACGAAGGTGTTATTGGTATTGGATATTTCTGTACAGTAAGCTTTCGGTCTTAGATTTATCGTAATTAAAGTTTTGTATGGACTTAAGAGACCGGAAAATTTTTTCAATCATCTTTTCTAAACAGGCTTTTGTTAATTGATTATCATGAAAATTTACTGAGAGAAAAAAAATGTTGGTTCTCTGAACTAGGAAAATCTAGTTAGTTACCATCACCACTATTTAATTAAACTTCTTATACCTAAAATAATTTATTATACTGTACCTTAATAACATAGTTACTTAAACTATTTTTAGTTAAATATCGGCATAATAGTCATCTTGATTAACTTTAACTCAGTATGTCTAGCTCTACATTTTAAGTTACTCTAACGTCAATTATCCTTCGAGAGTTAATGATATACATTTGGTAGCTAATTTGTCATTGAACGAAAAATTTTGGGAAAGGAGAGAAGAAAGGATAAAGGAAAAGGGGGGACCACTCAGTGGGAATTTTTCGGCAACCGAAAAAATAATTCGGACAGCCCGGACCGGGAATCGAACCCGGATTTTTCGGTTACAAGCTTCGGGCTCGGACAGTTAAGCTATCCGAGACATTGTCCGTAACTCTACCTTTCAGTCAGCTAATAATTTTTTGTTTAACACGATAACACAAAAATATTTATTAAAATATTATCCGTATATATAACTACACTAATAGGATTTATTAACTATTGATAATTTTATTTTTTTGAAGACAATTACTTAATTTATTAAATTTTAATACTTAATAATTTTACAGCACTGAAAACGATGTTTTGATATCTGTCTATGACAACTTTACACACCTCAAAGAACACATCCGTCCGCTCGGTTCTCCATACCATCCTATCAACGGAGACACGAAGCAAATTTCAGGGCTACCGAGTAACATAAATTTGAAAGAATATACAATTATTGGCATGTTTGGTGACGCCGACAATGTAAGTAAATCCTTTTATTAAAAATTAATTAATTTATGTATTTAATGATTGGATAATTAGTTATTGGTTATTGATAACATTAATTCTTTTTAGCTTATACTAGCGTGCTATAAGGAAAAAGCAATATTAAAAATAAGGATTAAAGTTCCAAAATCTGCGCAGTCAACTTATGAAATTTATAATTTCACATTAATCACCCTGGATGATTCTAACGCAAGGACCACTTTTCATTGCTACATACCGCATAGTGACGTTATGGTGATAGCTAATGGTAATAACAATAATTATTTTTAAATCTTCAAAAATTCTACAAATTAATTTTTCATTGCCAAAAAACAAGTCAATTTTCTTCTCTGAAAAATTATTGTAATTATAAATCAATCTATAGCAGTGATTATAATTACAATTTTATAAAAATAGGTACACACTTGTGGATATCTTGCGAGTTCAAAATTACCGATGATTTTAGCCACTACTTGCGTCATGTAAATTGCAATAGAGTTGTCACCTCTATTACAATGCATTGCAATATTATACTCGCTGGTTTAAATAATGGTACAGTATAATTTTTTATTAACTGTTTAAGTACCAAATATTGACACCCTGCATTAATTAAATATTTACTATACTAATTACAATTTAAAAAAAAATAATTGGCGCTTTAACCTAATTTTAAATAGGTAATTCACAAGAAAATAATCACAATTTATTCTTTTGTAATCAGGAACAATATTGGTTGTAAATCTTAAGTATGATCAGGATCAAATTAGAGGTCATATTGTTCTTAATAAAAGACTTCGGATTAATAATGTCGATGATCCGATTATCTCTCTTAATATTGATGAGATAAATGACCGATCAAGGATCATTGCTGGGACAAAGTCAACAATAAAATATTTAGACTTTTAACTTAATTAATTGTAAATTAATTAGGTTTTAAGTATTTTTCTTTGATAAAAATAAAAAATGTTTTTTAAGACATTATTAATAAATAAAGAAAATTTTGTATTATTAAATAATGAATTTTGTTAAATTGCACTGTACTTTCTTAAATATTGACGTTTTTAAAGATATAAGCTCATCTCGATGTTATACTCATCAAGAGCTTTTTATATCATTAAAAATGTCAGTAGTTGACAAAATACAAGGTCATTTCTCAATTATGTATCTAGAGATAGAGCATTTTCTAATGTGGCCTAAATACTGCACAAAATTTTGCTTATTCTCTTAATAATAATTATTATTATTTTTGATGAGAATATTAATGGCCCGCGCTATATGACACTAAAATTACCTATTGCAGTGGAAAATACCCCTTTACCCTTTCTCTCTTTCTACATTAGTTATAATGATGTAATTACAACAATGTGGGCTTACAATTCCGCGATATTGCACAACTAGACCGCGGATATTTCCCCCAAGATGATAATTTCGGAAAATAGAGGACTGGTGGTCGATTATTATCCGCAGTAAAATTCACAATATCATCTCTAATGTACACAATCACTAATTGTATGCAAACAACATTCGAAATAGTCGGAGTCTAACTGTCGCAAAGTATGGTACACGGGTAATGAGCTGGTTATCAATTCCAATCATCCATCACATATTTCCGGATTGTTATTTACTGTTATTGTCCATTGGTAATTACTTTAATGAATTAATTATACCATCAAATTAACTATTGACATTTCTATCGTCCATTAATTATCTGAAATTATATACGCTCTTTTAGCTTTGCAACGTTGCCAGTAATAATAATACTATTAATAATAATAATAATAATAATAATAATAATAATAATAATAATAATAATAACAATTAATCTTACTCTAAAAATATTAAACAAAAAATATAGCAATATATTATTTATCTTTAATCTACTCATTTATATTAACCGAAAATATATTATTAAAAAAAAACAGCTGACGTTTTTATTTTATTGTCAAGTTGCATCGCAGAGAGGGATTTAGAATTAGAAATAGACAGGGTTTTTGTCATACAAAACTTACGACAGACAGGGATTATCATGTCTGTGGTAACTAATCCAGGAAGGAAGTGTTTGCAAGCGTACTAAAAGACTCAAATCTTTAGTTTTTTCTTTCATATGCTTATTATAAATAGGGTTGCCCTAAAACATTCTTTGTTAAAATGTTTACAGATGCCACTTTTTATTAACATACTACCCTATAAAACAACTATTTTAATAGTAAGAATAATAATTAATAAAGCTTTGTATTTAAAAGTACATGTTAAAATTTTTTTTAATCAAAAATTTGACTTTAAATTAAATTAAATTATTATTAAATAATAATAAAAAATTATTATTCAACAATTTTTCTACTTAATTACAGAAAATGTAGTTCTTTATATGTATCCTTTCGATCTACCACTCTACAAGCGAAAATTTTGAGCTACTTTTCGCCACCTAGCGGCCAACGCAGAACTATTTTTCCAAATTTTTAAATAATGCATAAAATTAATAATTACTTGATTAAAATACTTATTAAGACTTACTAATAAAAAATTTCTTAAGGAGATACACGCGAAGTAAATTTTTTAAAACTTTCTGACAATTTGTAAATTCAATCTACGTGAATAATTAATAAAAAAATTGTAATAGTAGGTTTTTGGGGTTTAATCTAAAAATTAAGTTTGAAAATTGTAATTTTTACATGTAAAATGGAGATTTCACCAGCCGTGTATTTGGCTAAGAATTTAATGCAATTAACGATTTAAAAAAAAATATTTTATTTTCATAGAATTAATTCAAGAGTTAGACAGAAAATATAAATAAATTTTAAGGTTAGAGAGACTTTTTTTGTGTTTTCAAGTGCATACTGCTAATTCAGATTGCAATATTTTTATTAGTCAATTAAATGTTAATAATTATTTACAATCTTTACACTAGGAGGATCCTTGGATCCTCCTAAAAATAATGATCAATAATATATTTTGATAATTAAATGAAATATTTTATATTTTCTAAAAAATACCTTTCAATTGTTTCAAAAATCAAAACCACTGCAATAAATCATGACACTGAAGTTAGAAGACGTGTAAAAATTTTTGATTTTTTTTTTATTAATTAAATTACAACTAAAAAAATATTTCTAAAAAATTGCACTTATAGTTTTTAAAGTTTTTTACATGTGACAATTTTTTTTTTAATTGTTTAATTGAAATTTTTTATTAAAAAAATTTCTAAAAATTTTGAAATGTCGGCTAACTTGATTTTCATAATAAATCACCTTAAACTTATTTACCTTTCTTGATTTAATAATAAAATAACAATAACAATAACAGTGCATGGTTATTAAGCATTTAGCCATTGACCACACACATAAATCGTAATTCTTTATCCAGAAAGGGGTTGGTCACAACTGTCGGCGGTTCATTAAAAAGTAAAGATAATTATAATAACATGAAATAACAACATGCCAATGTTAAGAGTATCTATATACTGTATACTGTGTTAGTGTGTTTGGTATATTATATACATACAGTTTACTGTACACCCAGAAAGTATGTGATAGATCGCGTGACACTTGTGCTTATAGTGTGCCAACAACGACCCCCAGCGTATCGTGATATTTCATTTCATTGCACGACATCATACTCTGAGCTTCGAGCTTAACTTGTTGGCTTATTCCCCAGTCACTATATTATACATAAATATGTGCTATACGGCATTACAACTGTTAGAATGTCTTTAATATTAACCGGGAGTATAAATTTAAGAGAATTTAACACTACTTAGTCTTTTTGCTCAAGAGATTAAAATATACCACACTTATTTTAACTTATTTTTTATCCCTATTGTTTATTAATCCTCCCCTTTCGTCGCTTCTCCGCTTTCACCTCGTTTCTTATATTAGCGGTTCATTTACATTCCTGAGACATTCATTTGATAACAAACGGACATTTATTTCCTTTTTTTTTCTCCAATTATGATTACTCTTAATCTAATGCTCTAGATTCTTAAGTGTTTTTTCTTTTTTTTTTTTTGTAATTCGTACTATTAAACTAATGAGACCTTTTTTTTTAGGAAATTATTTATTAGTAAGCCTTAATAAGTATTTTTATTAAGAAATTATAAATATGAATTTGAAATTTTGTGAATTTAAAAATTTGGGGAAAATAGTTCCGGAGCAGCCGCTAGGTGGCGAAAAGTAGCTCAGAATTTTCGCTTGCAGAGTGGTAGATCAAAAAAATATATCTAAAGAGCTTCATTTTTTTTTTTTTTTTTAAGGAGATCTAAGTACTCTTCCAGAGTAAATAATGTCTATAAAAGAATAATACGTAGAAATACATTTGTTATCTTAAAATTAATTTTTAAATTAATTAATAATATTTTTGAGGAAATTTCCGATAAAATTAAAATGAATGAATTCAATGAATTAATTTAATACTTTTTAAGATTAATATGAAAAAAAATTGAAAAATTATAGTGTAGTGACTAAAAAAATATAAAAAATTCGTAAAATATTAATTTTAATTAATTTTTAAATTAAAAATTTTAAAATAAACAAACCCAATAATATTCGCAGTATGAAATTGAGTTACATTGTGTTTCATATTTATTATTAAAAAAAAAAAAAAAGAAATTCGCACTTCAATCATCCAGCTCCTGAATGAACAAGCTTTACACAATATCTGTCTCTAAATACCTTTTTTCGTTATCATAAAAATTACCCGTGGCATTTTGACACCGAATAATTATGCATGAACGGAAGCAAAGTGAGCAGAGAGAAAAAAATGAATAATAGCCGGATAGTTTTATGTTTATTACGGATAAAGTCGGTTTTTAATTTGGAAATGGGTTCGCTATCAAAGTATCCTTCGCTCGCGGGATTATTTCATCTCGCGAGAATTTCGTTAGAGTAATTGAACTCTTCTTTAAAAATATACAAACAATTTTTACAAAGTAACTAAAAAAATATATATTTCCTTTTATGTTTCTAAATAATTAATAATACATAAAAATTTTTTTTTTTATGTGAAAGTATGTATCTATTTTATATAAAATACCTTGAGGTATATTATTAAAATATAATACTGTACAAATATCTTATTACGTATATTTGTACATTGAAAAATAAACAACGTCTATAATGACACACATATGAGTAATATATGTAATAAGTAGCTAATTATTATAAATAGGCACATGGATAATTTTATATATTATTACAAGGAAGGAAATTTTCTCTAATTATTATCAAGAAAATAACAGTACACTTAAAAAAAATTTTTTTAGAAAAAAAATTAGCATTTTTAGTGACAAAAAATTAATTAATTATTTTTCAGCTTAAGAAATTAATTTCAAAGTAAAAAAAATTAATTTTTAAATCCAGCTTAAAAATATCATTAAAATTTTTTGAGATTATTAATTAAGAATAAATTAAAATAAATCAACAATAACCGGAAGTACTTAAATAAATAATTTCTTTTACAAAAATGATTTATTACCCGTGTAATTAAAAAGAGTCACGTAATAATGAATTTTTCGTAGCTCTTGCTCTCGATTTTTGTTATCTCTTAATACAAGTTTATCATCACATAATTACACACATATCCTTCGAGTCCTCGTAACCGGGTGAAATATTTCGTGTAATTAAACCTAAATATGCCGGATTCATGAAATTTATTTTTTTTTTTTTGGAAATAAAATGCGTTCCATTTAAATTAAAGGAGAATCGAATGTATATTGAGTACACGGTGTATTTGTAAGCGAAATAAGGTTTGTATGTATACGTATATGTATGTGAGTAATACACCGGAAATTTGTAGTTTCGAAGGCTTCGTTAATCATCGAATAACAAGCAAGCATATATCCTTTTCGACGAAATTCACATCCAGACGATATTTTAGGTATTATGTTTTACTTAATGACGTCTATTTAACAT